ATATTCAGTTATATGTCAGTACGCACTCCTCCACTGACTCCCCTCAGATGATATTCAGTTATATGTCAGTACGCACTCCTCCACTGACTCCCCTCAGATGATATTCAGTTATATGTCAGTACGCACTCCTCCACTGACTCCCCTCCAAATACACTGTGATTGCACCTCTAATCTAAAACTTTGGAAGCAGGATATCTTTCTCAAACTCAACACAGACAAAACTGAATTCTTACTGGTCTGTCCAAAATCATAAGTATCTAAATCCTCCAGTTTCTCTGTTAGTATTGATGGTGTCCCTATAAAACCTGCCACAGTAATCAGAAATCTTGGCGTAGTATTTGACTCTACACTCAACTTTGATCTACACATAAAATGTCCAGTACTGATGCCCAAACTCTGGTTCATGCTTTTATTACGTCCCATATTTTCTACTGCAATTTCCTTTTCGCTGGCCTCCCTGCAGAATGTATACAAAAGCTTCAGTATATTCTGAAGTCTGCTATTAGAGTTCTCACTCACACCAAACGCTCCGCTCACATCACACCCAGCCCCTCTCAGCTACACTGGTTACCGCTTCAGATACTCGGATCAAATTCTAAATATTGCTTCTCACTTATAAAGCTCTGCATAACCTCACTCCTTGCTACCTCAGTGAGCTCTTGGCTCCCTGCTCAACCTCTCGCTCTCTCAGATCCTCTAATAATGATCTCCTTGCCATTCCACGTATTACCATGGGCGGCAGGTCCTTCAGTGCCATGGCCCTCAGACTCTGGAACTCTCTCCCACAATCACTCCGTGACTGTTCTTCTTCCTCTTCCTTCAAATCTCAATTAGACATTTCTTTTCCTTGAACATTTCTCCTCTGTCTCTTCCTCCTGTACTAAGTGTGTGTGTGTGTGTGTGTGTGTGTGTGTGTGTGTGTAAAGCAATCTTAGCATTGTGAAAGGCGCTATATAAATGGAACTTATTATTATTATTTATTATTGTGCCTGTGGCACAGACAGGGAAGCCAACAATTTACACAACACGGTTATATGTTAACCAAACACACGCATTCCATGGCAAACATTACACAGTTACGACATTTACAATAAACATAAATACACAAATGCACATATTAACACTATTTACAGATATATGCAGTGTGCTGCAAAGCATGCTGGTAACTGCATAACTGTTCTGCTGTCCAACCCCACAGTGTGATGTGAGCCAGTGGTGGAGAGTGGGTGGGATCACTGCTCATGCGACACCGTATTGCTGAAGCGACACTGATTCCATGAGCTACATTTGAAGTATGCAGCCACCTTTAGCTAGGAGGCGGATAATTTATACCGTCTGCTGTATGTGTATAATGACATTTAAATTATTTAAATTATAATTATATATATTTAAATTCTAATTGTAAATTTAAATTATAGTCCTCAAATATAGTGTTTAGTGTTTTTTTTTTTTTCTTTTTTCTTTTCATTTTTAAATCTTAGGTTCATTTGTAAGTCACAATGAGCCTAATCAAATGGGCTTTACTGTCATGCTGTCCATATACAGGTCATGTGGGTGTACAGTGTCATGAAATATGAATATGCATAAATAAAACACAGGACAATGCAAAATGGGGAATCTGACTCCAGGGTTTAAGGAGGTAGAAAACATATAGTTAATTGAATAAATATAACACTAATGACAAAGTAAAGTGAGCAGTGCCAGTCAGGATTGGGGAGGGTAATTCTCAGAAACGGTTGGGGAGTGAGATGGGAACCATGGTATTTAGTGTTCCGACAGTCTTGTGGGAACCTGCAGTACTGGGAGCTCCTGTACCTTCTGCCAGATGGGAGCAGGATGGGAGGGGTCTTCTGCAGTGCTGGAGGCTTTGTGGGTGCAGTGGTTCTGGAAAATGCCCTTGATGCAGTGGAGAGAGTTCCTGATGTTTTTATTTCTGATGTATGAATATCTTTCTGCTACAGGGACTTGTGTTCTGGGGCTTTGCAATTCCCTAACCAGCCAGTGTTGCAGCTGGCCAGAACACTTACTATGGTGCCCTGCAGAACCTGGTCAGGATGGGGGGTCGGGGAAGTCTTGCCCTCCTCAGCCTCCTCTGGAAGTGGGAAATTGGTGTTGAGAGTTCAGGTCTTCAGGTTGGTATTTGGTCCTCCTGACTTTCTACTGCAGATGCCGCGATGTTCACGGGGGGGTGGACAGCCTGGGCCTTCCTGAAGTTGGCAATTATCTCTTTTGTTTTGTCCACATTGAGAGACAGATTGTTGCCCTTGCACAAGTCTGCAAGCTGTTCCACCTCGAGTGGGTATGCTGACTCATCATGGTTGCTGATGAGACCCACTACTGAGTCGACTTTGCGATACAGTCATGAGTCAGCAGGGTGAGCAGAAGTGGGCTGAGCATACAGCCTTAGGGAGCACTGCGGCTCAGTATGGTGGTGTTGGTGATGCTATTGCCAAATGGACTGCCTGGGGTCTTTTTGGTCAGGAAGTCCAGGATCCTCAAGGGGTGTTGAAACCCAGAAACACAAGATGCTCGGTCAGCTTCTGAGGAATGATTGTATTGTATGCTCAACTGAAGTACTGCAAAAAACATTTGTATGTAGGATTCATCCTTGTCCAAGTGGGAAAGGGCCTGGTATAGAGCTGTGGATATGGCAGCATCAGTGGGACAGTTGGTGATGGTAGGTGAACTGGAGGGGGTCGTGTGAGATTCAGAGTGTAATTTTCATGTGCCCCATGACTAGCCTTTCGGAGTGCTTCATGATGATCAGTTGTAGTGCAATGGGGCTATTGGTCATTGAGGGAGAAGACCATCAACCTTATCAACACAAGTGTGATGGTGGTGGTGGCCATGAAGCACTTGAGGATGACTGCTTGTCTGTCAAGATATCAGCCAGATGGTTTGCAGATTCCTTGAGCACTTGACCAGGAATGCTGTTTGATTCAGCCACTCCTCACCTCAGCTGTGGCCACACTAAGTGCCTTTTCCACTTGAAAGGGGCGTGGTCTTCATGGCAGGCATGTCATTTAGTGTGTCGAGCCGTACAGCGAAGTCATCCAGTACATCTGGGAGGGAGGCATCTCTGACTTGTGGTGAGGTGTTGTAGTTTGTGCTGGCCTGGATGTCTCTGCTGTCTTGGAAGCGGTTGTAGATTCCTGGCCCATACACATGCGTTGGTGCCCTGACGCCAAGGGTAAGGATGGCCCTTGCTGTTTTTAGGGCTACCATGTCTCCCAGTATGAATGGCAGACCGCGGACTTCCAGCAGCATATGTACCTCTGTCAACATCCATGGTTTCCGATTGGCTCATATGGTTTTGGAGGCAGTTGCGTCAATTATGCACTTGCTGATTTAGCCAGTGACAGATGCTGTATACTCCTCCGAGTCACTGCGAGGCCCACAGGAGCAGGAGGCAGCTCCTTCTGGCGAGACTCTTGCTGGACTGGTTTACACCATTTGAGCAGCAGAGTGTCTGCTGGCATAAGCAGTGCTGAGATATGGTCAGAGAGGCCGAGGTGGGGCAGGCTATGACTCCGTATGCTTGGCACATGTTTGTGAACACAAGGTCCAGTTTTTTTTCCTCTCTGGTGGGAAAATCCATGTGCAGGTAAAATTTGAGGAGAACAGCCTTCAGGTCGCATAACTGGTGCCTCCAACTACAACAAAAAAGCTTTTGGGATGTGTAGTTTACGGCACATCGATGGCTCCTTAGGGAATGTGCAGTGCTTCCTTAGCATTACTCCCAGGTGTGACGTAAACAGCCACGATGTTAACAGCTATAAATTCCCACAGCAAGTTGAAAGCAACGCGACCATCGATGAGCAGTGGCTTGTAGGACTGGGTAGTATGTCCTAAAAAAATCACGATATTTTCAGAGATTTTTACAATATCTATATTGATCATGATATTCTAGAATTTGTATGTAGAAAACAGTAAAATATGACAGTTGATTTTGAGTTTTTCTGATTATGATGATGAAATTGTTTTACTAATAGTTACAGAATATTTGACAGGTATAATGATAAATTACACCCACAACAGACTCATACCTTGAATGAATTTGTTTAAAAATTGTGCATTGCAAGTGTTTTGGCTATACCATGAAATTCACGATATTCAAATAAATGACGATAGGAATGTTCACAATCACAGTGCGATATATTGTCCAGCCCTAATGGCTTGTGACTCCTCACCATTCTTTGTTGATACAGATACACAAACCACCTCTGTGGGTCTTACTGGACATTAAAACACCTCTGGGTGGACTATATGGGGTATTGTGGTGGAGCCACATTTCTGACAGGAGAGCTGGCCGGGTTGGGTGGCTCAGTAGCCTGTTGTAGGTGCCAGCGCACTTTCCGTGCTTCACTTTCCTCTGGCGCTGCGTGTGGCACCTTCTTCAGATAACTGTGCCAGGCGATGCCATGGTATCCCAGCCTGGTGTTCCCAGCAGCCCGTGCTGCCGCTCCTCCATTGGTCCTGTACGCCAGGGGGATCCTTGGTGGTTCCAGGTGTCCAGAAGGGTCTTAAGGTTGTATACATGTTTCTGGGTGTTGGCAAGTTTTTATGAAGAACTGTGACAGTGTTCTCTGGACTTGGGCTGGCCGCCATCTTACTATGCAGTCCTTGTGGCAGAGAGGCCCTTGTCTGGAGGGGCCGGGGTATATGTTTAGATCTGGGTCTTGCTGGTTCGCCAGCTTTCCTTACCATGCAGACCATCTCACTCCAGCACAAGATCGAGTGCCAAGCGAGCCTTGGGTACATGTGCCCATTCTCTGGAAAACAGCAGTTTATCCCAAGAGCCCGGCTGGCTGATTTTTTTCATCCGCAACAGTTAAAGCTACTACTTTCTGCCATCTTCTCCCAGATTTAGAGATGCCTAAGGTATTACCACAAGCATCCGAGTGTGAGTACTGAGAGCGGAGCTCTGACCTTGGGATGAGAGGGAGAATACTCAGTGTTTCCTCTTCTTTTCATCTATCAAAAGCTGTCAGCCTCTGAGAAATTAACTGAGTTTTTTTAAGATTACTATTTCATTCTCCTTTTCTGTAGATCATTATATGCTCTTTGGAGGAGTTTTGTGTGGTTGCAAAGCAGAAGAATGGTGAAGCTCTTTTCCAGCCAAGTACATAATGCTTAGAAGCTGAGAATATACCAGAAAGTCTCTTCCTTTTACTGTGTGGCAGGTTACAGGGGGAGGGACTGTCTCTGATAGGGTACTGGCCTTTGGTTAGAGGGGCTGTCTGTGATAGGGTGGTGTGTTTTTGTGGGAGGGGCTATCTGTGATTGGGTGGCGTGTTTCTGTGGGAGGAGCTGTCTGTGATAGGATGGCGTGTTTTGGTGGGAGGAGCTGTCTGTGATAGGATGGCGTGTTTTGGTGGGAAGAGGTGTCTGTGATAGGATGCCTTGTTTTGGTGGGAGGAGCTGTCTGTGATAGGATGGCGTGTTTTGGTGGGAGGAGCTGTCTGTGATAGGATGGCGTGTTTCTGTGGGAGGAGCTGTCTGTGATAGGACGGCGTGTTTCGGTGGGAGACTAGCCGTGTAGAGACATTCGCATCAACGGAAGTTCAAAATGTTTGACCTTCACAAGGTTTATGTAGACATTAAATACAGGGAGAGAGAACAGTGATTTTTGGTAATTAATAGTCAATAAATGCATTGATTTACAATATTTATTTACCACATCAACATGTGTATGTAGTTAAATCAATGTGTTTTTTTAAAAGTAAAATTCGGTATTATTCACGGCTAAGGTTACCTGCCTTGTTCACATATTTTAGGCTTACTTTGGTTAAAAAAACTTGCTGTTGCTATTTATTCTTTTGCATCTTTCTTTTTAAAAAAGTTCTTAAACTTGCATGGTAGTCAAGAGCAATTGTCTAGTGGGATGGGAAGAGAAGAAACATTTCAAAATTCAGATCAGATTAAATGTTCTAACATTTCTATAATTCATGGTGATTGCAATAATCCCATGCTAACTGAGGACCTAAATAATCTTAATGACTTATTCACTAATAAACTGCAACATGAATAGCGTGCCAAGCAGTTTGTCTGTGCCCTTCCCTCCATGGCGGCCAAGCAGTTTGTCTGTGCCCTTCCCTCCATGGCGGCCAAGCAGTTTGTCTGTGCCCTTCCCTCCATGGCGGCCAAGCAGTTTGTCTCCACCATAGTTCACTGTGCTGCCTGGGGATGATCTGGGGATGAGGCTGTTTGTGGTTAATGTTACATGTTTCTAACTTAATCCAGTATTTTAGCCTTATCTGTTAACATTCCCTAAATGTAGTATTTTCATGGGGATAAAGAACTAAAATACTTAAATGCACATGTTAAATGCTTAAATGCACTGTAGCGTAGCACCTTGCTAAAATGCACATTTGATACTAAGCTACTGATAATATACAATCTTTTAAAACTTTTAAAGTGCATCACAAATAGTCTCTTCCGCTGCAACTCTACTGCGCTGATAGTACTTGATGCTATTTTCCGGAAATTATTCAGAGGCTCCTTGATCTGCCATTGCTGTAAAAAAACGCTCCATTGGAGGCAACGAAGTTGATTCTCTCGCTCTATGGTTGTGGGTGGGAGGGGCTGTCTGATAGGGTGGCGGGTTTTGGTGGGAGGGGCTGTCTGTGGTAGGGTGGCGGGTTTTGGTGGGAGGGGCTGTCTGTGGTAGGGTGGCGGGTTTTGGTGGGAGGAGACAAACAATCTCCACCTAGCAAGGGAATTATGGTGTTTTTAGACTTAATTTAGCTTACAACATAGTTGTAAATAGGATAAAAGTGAGGGTAGGGCTGGGCCATTCTCACGACTGCATCATTTAATTCAAAACTGTTTTCAAATGGGATGTCATAAACGCTGAAACAGAAAAAACAGCCCGCTAGGTGTCATAAACACCAGCTCCCCCAGTCAGGCACCTGCACGAAAAAATGCCTTATGCTGACATGAAGGTGTTTACTGTCGTGTATCAGAAAAGGTGCCAATAGCTGTGTCTTTCATAGGGAAATGGTTTGGACTTGAAAGGTTCATGGAACAAAACAATGTAAAGTCTGCAGGAAGTCAGTCTTAAATAAGTTGTAGCGCATCAACTCAATTCCAACAGCAGAATCAGCCAGTGGAACAGGAGCGAGGTGTGAAACTGGCGCATGGGAATTCTAGAAAAAGACAGAATTGTCAGTCGCCCATAAGTTTGGGGGAAAATGAGACTTTATTTGTTTCCTCCATGTCGCCCACCCATGACAGAGGATGATGATTGTTAATAAGTAATAAGAAGTTTCTGCTGCGCTTGCGTCAGCGCAGCTTCTCGGGCCGCCGCCATGTCTATGCCCTCCTGCTCTGCTCTGCTCATTATCGGGCATCGTGCGGCTCCCAGCGTGGCTGTTGGCATTCCTGAACACCCGCGTGCACAGGGGCACGCCGCGCCGCCATAAAATGCTCGAAAATGTGCTCTTTCTCTTTCATTCCTTTTAGCTGATAAATAAGGATGACTTTAAATGCCAGAATGTCCTCCCCTTTATCTACCCCTGGAAATATTACTGTGATAAAAAGCTCTAATGTGCACTCATTATTTTCTTGCTTTTCGGTGATGGACGATAAATCTCTCGTGCGATGATAACGTGCACTTCTGCTTTATCCCCCCCCCCCCCCCCAACCCAGGATGAGCTGACTGCTGCCCACTCACTCTGCTTCACCCCAGACGCCTCCCAGCTCTACTGCGGCTTCGATAAGACGGTTCGGGTCTTCGACACAGAGCGGCCTGGCCGGGACTGTGAGGAGAGGCCCACTCTGGGTGAGCTGGTAACCTTCCGACAACGTTATGGTCTAATACACTTTAGTTCGGACCATTCTAATTATTATGACTGTAATGGTGAACGCCTGAGTTCTGATGTAAGGGAATAGGTGTGTCTCTAGCGGCCGTGCTGTGTGTAAGTACAACCACGTGTTTCCTGAACCCCAGTGAAGAAATGCGGCCAGACGGGCATCATCTCCTGCCTGGCGTTCAGCCCATGCCAGTCCATCTACGCCTGTGGCTCCTACTCCCGCTCCGTGGGCCTCTACTCCTGCCAGGACGGGGCGCCGCTCGCACTGCTGCCCAGCCGCCACCAGGGGGGCATCACCCACCTGCTTTTCTCGCCCGACGGAATCCGCCTCTACACAGGAGGCCGGAAGGTGCGCTCTCCAAACATATAATGGATCAGCTGAGCAAATGGAAATTGTACTTTTCCAGCGTTCGTGTTTTCGTAATTGCTGAAGATCACACACGTGTCGGGATCTGTCTCATCAGGACCCAGAAATTCTCTGCTGGGACCTGCGAGATCCAGGACAGGTTCTGTTCTCCCTGCGACGGAGGGTCACCACGAACCAGCGCATCTACTTCGACCTGGACCCGTGAGTGCTGACTGTCTCCTCTCCCCTCCCAAAACTCTTCCTCCCAGCCGTGAGTCGCTCCTGCTTAACTTGGTACCCATAGCTGAAACTGCACCCAGCCGCCTGTTAGCTCTGCACTTAAGCCAGATACACCTACAGCCTTTGATGTCTTATGTGCAGCTGAATGTGTCTGTAGTCCGGAGGTGGAGGGATATTCAAAGGCAGCGGTAGGAGATGCTAAAATACGACGGCTCAAGGCGGCCCACATGATGTTTCTGGATCTTTCTCGGTCAGACTTTGATGTCAAAGGAGGTCGATCAGGCAATGCCGCACATTTATCAAAGCTCTGCCCCCCGCGCAGGTCGTAAGCTTCTCGCAGGCGGTGGCTCATCCTCTGATTGGCAGCGAACGCTGCGCCTTTAATGTGTGCTGCCTTCTGCCCCCTACAGGTAGTCAGCTAGATGCCATGAGTAAGCGAAAGCTGCCCCCATGCTGGGCACGGTTCTGCTCGGTGATGGTCCAGTCTGGTCACTTTGTACTATGTGGTCCAGCTTTGCTGAGCATTGGGGAAATCACTGCATAGTGGTTGTTTCTGTGTAGTGCATTTTATGAACAATCTTCTGTAGCCATTTGCAAGATGGCCGCAGATGTGCACGGGGAGGTCAAGGGTTTTAGTCTAGACAACCTTTGGTGGTGTCTCGCTACTGTTCACTCAGGTCTACATGGTTTTTTGTCCAGGTCGGGGCAGTACCTGCTGAGCGGTGACACAGGAGGAGTTGTCTATGTGTGGGACGTGTCCACAGCACCCCCTGATGGTGGGGAAGGAGTACTGCAGCCCCATTTCCAGTTCCAAGCACATGGAGACTGTACCAACGGCATCAGGTACAGCATCAAAACTCACGCTGTGATGGGATCCATGGGTCCAAAGACCCATTTGCACATAGGCATCTTCACTGATGTTGCTCCCATCTTTGTTTTTTTTCGCCTTCCTGCCTCAGCATCCACCCCTACATGCCCCTGCTGGTGTCATCCTGTGGCCAGAGGCAGTTCAGCTGCCCGGGGGAGAGTGAGGGCGACTCTGGGTCCGAATCAGACGCCGCAGAATCGCCAGTCTCCAGTGCCGACAACGCGCTTGCCCTCTGGTGGGCGGGGCCACCAGGTTCCGCCAGCGACAGGAACCAGGAGGCGCAGCCGGAGTGACAACACCGCCCCTGAGGGGATCAAGCCTAGTAGTGCAGCTGCCACTTTGGGACCCCCCAGGAAATTGTCACTGAGACACTGATACTCAAACTCCCAGACCCAAACACAAATTAGCCCTGGATTCATTGCCAGAGCATCTTTCCTAAAAATTACAGTCTGGGCTGAACTCCATTTCCAATGCTAATGAGCAGCACATTGTTATCCACTGAAGTAACTAGGCGAAATCGACAAAGAAGAGTTGACTGCTAACTCGTAACCCCCCCCCCCCCCTTGCTGGGCTCAGCTGATTCATCAGTCAGACTATGCTGTTATTGATGAGAGAGTTCTGGGTAAAAAGCCCTGAATTTCCTGGACACTCCAGTCGTGTGCTTTATGTAAAGCGGCCTCAGGTGTGGAGTCAAAACACAAAAACCTTGATTGTTGTAACACCATCGTTGTTATGCAAATGTACGTGTTGCCCGGCCCCCACCCCTGACAAGCAGTCACATGCCAAACGTCACTGATTTTAAAAGGTCTTTTTGTAAAAATGACATGCCAATGCTGCGGTGAATATGATTAAATGTATATTTTTGTACGTCTGCCCTTTGTGTGACACGACTTCGTAGCACAGTGCTGCCCTGCGCTGGGTCTTCTGTTTCATAGGCTAAGATGAGTAGTGTGTGCTTTTGGTGCCAACAAGTGGCTTAATTTTTTATTGGGTTAGGGGGGCGTTTAACAAGGATCTCTAACTGTACTTCTGTTCCTTCGTCTGTTTGATTTTTCCTTTGTCGTCTTCTGGCTCTACCCTGGAAGTGGTAGTAGGTTTTAGGGGTGTGAGACGTGCTCCTGGTGCGTGTGATTGTGCGTGTGTGCGCGCACCCGTAATCAGCACGTTTTTGTTCCTGCTCGACAGTGTTTGGAGAGAGATGGTTGTGCTCTTTCGTCTGACAGAAAAATTTGCTTAATTGAGTACGACTACTCGAGTAACCAGCCTGCTTTAGAATCACTGCAGCATCAAGAGTCCCTGAAAAGAGAGCAAATCTTTTTTTTTTTCCCTCAGATTTTTCTTTATTTAACACCTGATTTGAAAATGAATAAAGCATATGAAGTTTGTTCCTTACCCTATGCTCTGCTTATTTTCTTTCTCCGCTAGGTTATTATGGGTCTTTTGTTCTCCTCTGCATGTGTTCTGTGTTCATCTCTGGTTCCCTCTCCCCACTGTGTCATATGTGAGCACACATTTATTACGTGCCAGGCTAGGGAGTGCACACGTGTGTGAGTGCACACACAGACACACACACACACCTGCATGCTGCTGCGCCTGTAACCACCAACAATCTATTGTTTTGTTACCAGTTGCCAGGCAACCTTCATAAAGATGCCATTGCAGGTAGGATGTGTGAATGTTCACTCCCAGAATGCTCAGGAGCCCAGTCCTGGTCCTCCGGGTCAGCCTGGCAGAGACGCAGGCTCCTCACACTGGAGCAGTCTGTCCATTACGCAGCCCGGTCACAGTGAGGAGGGACTGTTATAAGCAGAGGGCGGCTGCCTATCTCCTCTGAGTCCGCCAAGCAGACCAGGATGTGAAGGAATCTGCAGGAGCTGCAGTCATTTAAATGGGAACAGTGTCCCAAAAGGACCCCAGTCATCCCTCATGCTTTCGGAAGGGTGACCCACCCCTGAAATTTCTCCAAAAAAACCCTCCCCCAGTGTTTGTCCTGAAAGTCAGGACATAGCGTAGCTTATGAGCTCTACTGGATGTGTAGATAAGTGGTCACTAAGTATGTTTGGTTTTGACAGCTGTCAGTGGATTTCACTGAATTCAGATTCTTAAGTTTAAAAAGGTAACTCCAAACCTACCATCTTTCTAATCATTTTAGCTCAGCAAAAATCACCAGCGAAAGCAGACTGTCGTTCCTACGGCAAAGAAAGCTTGCAGCTTTTATCTGGACTGTGACCACAGCATGGACCTTCAAACATTACCCCTCCTGCCTTTGTGTTGTGACGCCCCCATGAATCTCCCATCATGCCTCTTGCAGCCAGTGACGTCGAGCCGGTCCTCCAGGGCTCTGGCTTCCAGTCCACGACTACCCTCAGTGGTAAAGGAAACGTGTTTTCTTTACCTCCTATAAAACACCAAGCATTAAAAAAAGATTCATCTGTCATTGGCTGTAGCACCTGTATAGTTTCTGGTGATCCAATGGCATATGGAATGGAGGTTGACTGCACTGGGAGAGCGGGGGGGTGCTGAAAGGATTAGTCCCGCCCCCTTTTATCAGAGCTGTGTAAATGGCTGTAAAATTCTGCCATCTCCACACAGCACCAACTCTGCTCCACAACAGGGTTATGACCTCAAGCTCTCTCCCCCAATAGCTTCTCAGAATATGTAAATGTGTAGGGGCACCCTCCATTTCACAAGCACAACCCTTAAACCCAAAACTCATTTCTGCCCATCTGATTAGATGTATTGGCCCATTGTGATCCCCTGTTGTACCCTTGAACCATGTTACTGCCCTTAATCTGTTCCATAAATCACTGCAACCCTATACTGCATAGGCAGTGTACAGGATTTAGAGAAATGTCCAGCCATGTCAATATGTAAAACAGCACTGTGCCCAGTTTGTGTCGGTAACGGTGATTAAATAAATAATGGTGTGCACTAATACAGTGTGAAAGCTGTAGGTATTACGGAAGGCAGCACCGCCATCCCATAGCTCATGGTATCCGTGGTAACCTGACACCGCTTACCACAAATACCACAGTTGTACCTGTGCTTTGTTTGGCGGACAAATTTATATATAGGGAATAATATAGGGCTTGAAAGTGTATCTTCATGTGATTGTACAGATGGGTAATTAGTGGGGACGTCTGTGTTAGAACATCGCCCAGTCATCTGCTGGGATGTCACCGCAAAAGCTAGAGGTTAGGAGGCATTAACCGGCATTCTGGCCTGACTTGGAGGAGGGGGGGGGCTGTCCTCAGCCCACGAGTCGGCCGAAGTCGGGGAACGCCGCCGGTACCGGGCCACCATCTGTCAGGAAGGTTTCTGCGGTTACAGTAGCTTGCCTAAAAATGCCGGGAATGTTTGCCAATACATTATGAAGATGAAACTATTATAGTGTGTACAGATGCATTTGATAAGCAAATTACCCAAAAGGAGCTTACAGAGTGTAAGATTTTTCACTTTAATCCCATTTTTACAGCTGAATAATTACTAACAATGTCTGTGGTTTCTCTCCTGGGTGTTCAGCCTCCGCCATGTCACACACAGACTGCTGCTGTCATCCTGCATCACCACCTCACACCTTCACACACATACATATATACCCTCACGCAATTCTGGAAATGGGCCAGCAGGGGGTGATAGCAGTCATGGACACAAAAGTTCAATGTTACATATTAAGAAAAATTACAGCACTGATATTTCCATATAAATTGGTAAGACTGTAGATCACCTTGGAAAATGTGTCGGCTAAGCAAAATAGTATTCACACCCTCTCTCCTAGACACGCGGGCTCACTCCAAGGCTCGCTGTCTCTCTGGCAGGTTAGGGGGGGCTGGACATGATGGCAGTCTGCGGGAGGGAGTTTAAGATCCGACGGGTCAAATGAAGTCCGCACGGCAGTCCGATCCCATCCCCGCTGACTGCCTTCATGCAGATGAGTTCAGTCCGTATACAGAAAGACCCGGAACGCACAGAAGCTGCGCAAAGCAAACGGAGTCAACCCCTTAAGGACATGACTTTAAAACAAAACTTTCATGAAGCGACAGGTTGCATCTAACGAGTCTTCATAAATGCCCCCTTCCCTTTCTATGCTCCATTGCCCCGATAAACACACTCAGATCGGGAGCTCAGATCACAGTCACGGCAACACTGAGGATGAGTTTCGGTGATGGTGCACTCCCTTCAAAGGAGACGGCATCATCAATGGAGACTTACACCCGTTTAACGCTATTTAATACACTTGCATTTTTACTTTGCAAGTTCACAAAAAGCATTCACATTTTCTAGAGGGGAGGGGGTGCAAAAACAAATTTCCCTGTACTGAATATACTTTAAATGATTCCCGGGCCCACTGTTAAGGAAGCAAACTAGTCAGAGTCCTAGAATATATTACGTTCAAAGGTAGTATATTAATACAAATCACGGATCGCAAAGCCATCCCAGTTGACAGATCCCGAGTTGCTTGGATGTGGCAGGTGCTGGCAAGTCTCAAGTCCCCTCTGTGTCGCTGTCCCCCACAGAAGGTGCTGTGCGGCTACAGACAGTTTGTGGACAGACACCCCCTCCCCCCCCCCACCAACATCTTTCCACTCAGACTACCCCCTACCATTTTACCATCTGGGCCAGAACACTGGACGACGGCTGCTACTGTACACCGTGGTGACATCATCACGTTGCGCCCATCTCTTTGATGGGGCCGCGGTCGTGCCGCACCGATCACTGATCTCAGCAGCGGACTGATTAGTACTTTTTCTGTATGAAGTCCAAAGTGAATCTTCTTTAATCATCCGCCGTGTCGCCTGATATGCAGGTGATTAAGTGGTTTTTAAACCCACATAGAAGGATAAAGCTAAAGGACAAGTGGGTCGACATCACTTTTTTGAAATGCAAAATAATATTTAAAAATCGTACATCTCAAAATGAGATCACATTTGAAGAGTCCATCCAGAGTAATTTCACCATGCTCACCGGAGGGTGACCTTTCGATAATTAATTGCACCAATTTTATTACGAGTACGTACTCTTTAGTCATGTTTGTGTGCGTTTCCTAGGAATTTCACATTAGGGACACTGCGATTAAAAACAGCATGGTTAATTAACGGTAGAGAATATAGATTAAGTCGTTGGCAGGGTGGTTGTAGCTTAAGCGCATTGCATTGTGCTGACATGCGCATGTTATAGAAGATCATGCCCTTGATGAGTCAGTAATGGATTTGGTCCAGGGCTCTTGGAGCAGTGAGGGTTTAGGACACACCGTCGCTTAATGTTGAAGGTGTAGCACCCACTTAGAGTACGAAGCCCAGCATTTTCACACTTGACTCTGTACACAGATCGGTAACAGTGCAGTTGAAGGAAACGGCTGTGCATGAGATAATTGGATTGGGGGTCAGCCAGATTCTAGCCAGACCTTCAGTCAGACTGGGATCTCGGCCAGGGCAGTGGGGTATATCTTTTTGTATTGGGCCAGAGGGAGCTTTCAAAAATGCTCCACACCTGTTCTCTGGAGGTGAGGCTTGACCACTATGGAAGGACACAGCGGTAACTATTATATACTATCTCCACAGGAAAAGGGGTAGTACACTATAAACACACACATGAATTACTGTCAAAAGAATAAACAGTGGGACTGTCACAGAATGTATGAATTTGAGTGAAATTGTTGCTATTGTTTTGAAGCATGTAAATTCGAAACGTGATTAAAACAGTTAAAGCAAAAACAAGTTTGCAAGTCGCATTTGCGTCTGTTATCCGCAAGGTGGCAGTGTCGGCTCGGTGTTCGACACCCTGGAGTTCCGATTTGCCTGTGAGTGCGGCAGACCCTTGTCTCGGTATAAACGGATCTGAGTGCTCATAACGGCTTGTCGCTCCTGGGAACTGCACAGCATCAAGCCGACTTGGTAAAAGGGAATTTGTAAAAACAGCGAAAAACACCAGTCTGCGATTGCATAAGAGACAAAACGAACGAGGTCGGTTTGAATAGGTGGTTATTCAACAGTGGAATAAAATAGAAGCATAAAAGGTAATATGATTTTTGGCGCTTAAAAATCGCTAGATGCAAGACATTCTTCTACAATACGACACTTTTTGGGGGGGAGGGGGTTGAATTCACGCAAAGACCACCAGGGGCGCTAGAGCGCCGTGACTGACAGAGCGGAGGACCAGCGGAGCGCAGCGTATGAGCGCTTCAGACCGAGCGGGGAAAGTGGCTGCGTGTTTGGAAAAAAAAGAGAGGAAAAAAAACCCGCCCCCCAAGCTTTCCTGTGCGTTTCGTTTCGGCTTTCTGAAACACACTCCTCTCTCGCTTGTATTTGTGCAACTACAACGGGGATAGGAGGAGATGTAGATGGAGGGAGGGAGAGAAGCCGCTCCACACCGCCCCTATATTAAAGAAATTCATTTTAAAAATCCGCTCCGTGCAAGGTTAGCGAGCCTGTCAACCGGAAGATCAGATTTTTTATATATTCAAGCACATACACCTCCCCCTTAACCCCCTCCCTCAAACAAGTAGTCGGTCTGTCAATGCATTGCGAGCGCTAGTCAAATCAAACGAGTGGCGTTTCGGAGCCGGGGAGGCAAACGCAGCACCATCAGGATTCAATGATTGTATTACAGACCGTGTGCGTAGGAATAGCGATCATTGAGAAATAGCCCTTCGATTTTGTCTGATTTTTATTCATCTTAAATAATATTGCTCAATTGTAACGAATGTCATCTACCACTACGAGTTTTCTTCATGCATTAATTTAAAAAGGTTTTAAATATGAGTATTGGTGTTAATTTGCGCATGGACGTTATTTTTATTCCGATCTGAGCTGAAGGAAGGTGCTGCAGGATTGAGTGCGTTCACTCGTACTATAAGGGATTACAAGTTGAATTCCATGGAGACGGGACTATAAAGAAACAGTGTCCAAGACCAAGAGCGTTTTTCTTTCAAGAATGGAAATTGTGAAATAAAAGAACTTGACACGTTGGACATCCGTCCATTTTGTTCCCGAGTTCCGAATTTTTTTTACCATCTCTTTCGGAGAAAACAACTGGAATGAAAGAGAGGGGGACAGAAGGAATGGGAGAGAAATCAAACAAAACCCGTACAGAGAGCAAGGTACAGCAGTTAGGACAAATATCAACACACCGCCCGAATCGCTTTATAAATCATTAAACCCGAACTGAAATAAGCTCCTCCACGAGGATTTCTTTGTTAAAAGGGGGGTTTCGTCCGAGCAAGCAAACCACGTTCTCTGAAAGAAAACGGGACTAAAGACATAATTAGAAAAACATGGATTCGTCATAGCCCTGCAAAACTGTACGCTACTTCTGAACCTAGGAAAAGGTTTATTGATGCGGACATGCTCTTCCCACGGGGATCGGAGGCACTGAAGAACTTTTAGCAGTTTTATCGTGTATTTTGTTTTTATTATTATTTTTTTTCTTATTGGACATCCATGCGGTTGCTCCAGTCAAGCTTTCTCGTAAAGTACTGAGGGATATTCCTGTAGCCCATCGGGGGATTTTTTTTAATCTTCAACGCCCCCGTATATTTTTAAGAACATCCCTTCCGATGAGGGGTAAAAGACACAGCTTGGGGGTTACAATGGCGTGTCGGAACAGTGGTTTTGGGCTAGGAATTTTTGCAGTATTCATGGTGGATTTACTGGGGATCTCCGCCACTAATATGGAGCCGATATACTGGAATTCCTTGAACAAAAGGTAAGAGTTTCGAGCAAAGCGGTTTCGTGTTTCTTATTATAGCATAATATATGCACAATGATATATTTGTTTCTATGTGAGTAATACCTCCCGATCTGTAATATGCCGAAGTTCAATACAATCTTCTCGCATTGTGAGTTTGCGGTACACCGCGGTAATAAAGGTCCCGGCGCCGAGTCTTCGCACCACCGACCAGCCCTTGGGATCAGAAGTTGGCATTGTGGCAGCGTGCCATGCAACCCGGTGAAATCCGCTGTTTCCAGACTGAGCACGTCTCTGTCCGTGGCACCTCGGCGCCTGTACTGAGATTTCTGATGCTGGTGCTGCTTTAGTCGAAGACTGTCTCTCCGGCAGAGATTTCCTTTGCGTCAGGTGGTTTATTTTGCGATCAAATTCACAACCCTGATAGATGGTCATGTCTTGTAGATGCTTAGAGGTGGACTTCTCGGTACAGTGATACAAATTAGGTTGGACGATGGTTTGTACCTTTGAAAATGCAAGGTCATTTAATCAATTATGAATTATCCCAGACTGTCTTTTGCTATATTATTATTATTATTATTATTATTATTATGTCAACATATATACTTGCACGAACCGTACCGGATTGGGTTATTGAGCAAAGTTTTTGAATTGCATTCGAAATATCACATGGGCTTCTGCAGAATGTGCCATGATTTATGGGCACGTTTTGAGATGTATTTGCCGGGTTATTTATTTGAGTGCTTTTTCCAGGCTTAAAAACACAACGACGTTGTCCTTGCCTCAATTGATTAGTAGGTGCGAGTTTAATGTGCTTTTCCTGGAGCTGACACCGTGGGAGGGCAGCCTGTTGGTGAAGTGAAATTATGGCATCTTTTGTCGTGGAAGCGAGGGCAGGAGCCGTGAAGAAATCTGTGCTTGGAAGTTATGTGCCTGCGATATTTCCTTCGCCTCGATGCTGGATTTTAAAATCACTGCAAGAACTTGAGGTGGTATAGGCCTATAATTGATGACGATTATTATTATTATTATTATTATTAATTTATTTATTTAAACAAACATTTGATTTTTTTCGCCTGTAGGGTGCTTGTAATGTGGTTTAAGAACAAAAATATGAGCATTCATTTCCACCAGTGAGTCAGTGTTGGACAGGGACGTGTTGAATCACTTCAGTAGGGGTCAAAGATGCGTGGGTATTCGTCCCAGATTTCGACAGGGTCTTAGAAACCGCACCTTGTTGTAGCTCCTGTAACAGAATTTTATTCACATTTTACTTGTGATCTGTGTGGTAAATATAAACGAATTTCACAAAAAGTGCGGGTGGCGATTGCAGACGAGCTTCAACACTTCGGCAAACGCTTGTTGTCCGTAAATAGTTTCCAGCTTTTGCTCTTGTTAAAACTAACAGTCCCGTACTATTCGATGTGACCCAAGCTTTATGTAGAGATTAAATTAAATGCCCGTTTTCAAGGAAATTTACCAACACGGACTCTGCCAAGAATTCCCCTTTTTAATATTCATTATTGTGGACGAGCGCCTTTCAGATGCGGCAAATTAAAAGCATAAATCCTGACATGTGTCCAATTTAACAGTTAATTACATTGCTTAAATCGCGGGAAGGGGCACTGAGATAAAAGCGTCTGATGGGACGCGGCCGAGAAGGAGCCCCGATGGTTGTAAAACAGGGATCCTGGGGCAGTGAAACGCTTTATGCTCAGTTTTTATCCCTTGTTGTGAATATTATCTTTCCAAATAGAAGATAATCCTTATAATTAATAAAATATTGTCATACAACCTTTTCGCATAAGTGAACACTCGACTCTTCATTAACACCGTATCGATCGGTGCACTATAAATGGGTTTTATGCTTTTTGTTTTTAGATTTCCAATTTTTTTGTAAATATAGCTAAACCTAGGGAGTTTATTGTACCGAGAGTACTGTAGGTTATTTACGCTGGTCAGCTCCTTTTAATGTTAGATTGCCGTGGTATTTAACCTAAATCGGGTTAATACACCGGTACCTGCCCAGGAAATTTAGAAGATGATTTTTGTAGGTTTACAAACCTCAGAAAACAACCCCAAGCTGCCCCCTGAGTCGAAAACGCCTTACTCTCTTTAAGTTGTAATTTTATTATGACCCCCGCCACAGGTTAAAGTTTTAAAATGTGACTTTAGGGCTCAGGCCTACTGTTTCTTAATTAATTTCTTTTCGTAGCTACCAGTCAACATTTAATGTCTTACCTCCGAAAAAGAGCTTTGACTCTTGGCTGTTTCGTCTGGAGGCGCGCAGGAGAGCCGGCCGGGTCCCGGCGCCGCTTTCGGGCGCCGCAGCTTTACGCCCCACCGAGCGGCTGCCCTTCCTAACCGCTCGGGGTTAGTTGTACTACAGCTCTTCTCCCTCAAACACACATTAAAAATTAAACCCCCTCCGGCATTTCAATAATTAATTAATCGTCAGCTAATTGGCTCTGGATAAAAGACTGGTTAACTAGGCTAAGCGTTTCAAGTACAAATAAAAGGAAATTTAATTCAGACACCCTAAGTTTTCAAAAGGGTACTTGGGATGTCAGTGGGAGGGAAGTTAATGGGTCAGATTTGTGTTTGATTCCAGACTGAGCTCATTTATTATTTTTTTTTAATTTGTAGGCTGTGTTTACTGCAAACCACAGACTGGTTTATTTACAAATGACACATTTCACATGCAGGTAAGCTTGCATATATACAGTATATATATATATATATATATATATATATTTTTTTTTTGTATTCCTGTAAAGTGAACCCTGGATCTCCAAGGCTTTTCGTCTGGGGCCAGAGAGACCAACTGCACCGCCTTTTGTCTCGGGACGTGGTTTGTAAGAGAGGCTGCAGTTGTGTGAGCACAGGTGCCTTTTCGGAAAGAACGCGTGCTGAGAAATTCATTTGCGCCTACCCCCCCCCCCCCCAATAGCTTTTAGTGGAATGTCAGAGCGCGAAGGGGGCTGACCTGGAATGGATGGAGAGGGGTGGAGTCCATTTGAGTAGCTGAGGACACGGGACCTCGCAGCGGGCTGCGGTGGGGCTGCGGTGAGGCTGCGGTGGGGCTGTGGATCATGGCATCGGGACAGGGTGACCAGCAGACGGGCAGGTGCTGTGGGACCTGTGTGCACGCCGGCCAGTCCCAAAAACCTCCGGAAGATTAATGGGCATCGTAATCTTCTCATTTCCCGGATGACTGTGTAACTAAAGCCGCTGGCCACTTCCCCGAGGCTGACGGGCTTGGCAGCATGTGTGACCCCCCCCCCCGGTCCAGCGAGTAACTGTTAGCAGACAGACAGAGAGACAGACAGGTTGGGGGGCAGATCGCTGGGGGTGCACTCCAGGTTATAGCAGTAGCTCTTGCCTTGGGCCAGCCCCCCCTCACTTTAGTACTTTCTCCCTCCTGGCAGCTTGGTACTGGGCTTGACTCCCCCCTACCCCCCCCCCCCCCCCCCCCCCCCTT